GTGGTGCAAGGGGCAGGGAGGGCAGATCAATGCCACCTGCAGTGAGGGAGGGGGCAGGGGCAGATGCTACCCAGCAGAGGGTGGGGCCTGGGACAGAGGTGTTGCTCGTGGGGTGAGGACAACTTGCCACTCTTTGCACCCTGGAAGGGCGGGGGTGGGGGTGGGGTGCTCCTGGATCTGCGCAGCTCAGGGCAGGTGGCAGATCCTGGGTGGAGCCAGAGTCGGTGCTGTGCGGGGCTTTTCTTGCCAGGGACTGGGCTCGGAGCAGGCTCCGGCAGTGCTGGGAGGAGGCTGCAGCCACTCCAAATTTCGTTGCAGCTTCGCTTCCAGCCCTGTGCTGCTGCCTGGTGCAGCCCTGGCTTTTCCTGGTGCTTGGATGGAGGTGGAGCGTTCAGCTGGGGCTGCGGTGGCACAGGGCTGGGTGTCGACCTGAAGTGAAATTTGGAGTGGCTGCAGCCTCCTCCCAGTGCCACCGGAGCCTGCTTCAAGCCCAGCCCCTAGCAAGATAAGCCCTGCACAACACCAGCTCTGGCTCTACCTCACAGCTGCCAACCGTCCTGCACTGTGCAGATCCAGGGGCAAACAACTTCCCCCCTCCCAGGGTGCAAACAGCGGTGGAAGCTGCCCCCACTCCATGAGCTGTGTCTCCGTTCCACGCCCAACCCCACCCCCCCAGCTGGGCAGCTCCTGCCCCTGCCCCCTTCCTCACCACCGTAGGGAGGTTGATCTGCCCCACCATGCCCCTTCTCTCACCACTCCCCTTCTGACTTACCAGCTGGAGGCAGCTATCCACACTCAGTGCTGCACCGATCTGATATCGGACCAATGTATTAGTGCACCTCTATTAATATGGAAAGCCTTCTTCATATAGCTTGCTGATAAACATGATTTTTTTAGACTTCTAAAAAGAATAATATTCAGTCCTCCAAGCAGTTAGCATACGTGCTGCTTTGTTTTTGGAATGAAGGAGCAGAGAAGTATACAGGAGGAGTAGTATGCTGTAGTGGCATATTATTTGGAATTCTGTTTCTGTGAGTAGGATTTCTTAAGTGAAGGCCACACTTATCAGTGTGACAGTCCTCACTGCGCTCACTCACTTTTGGCAGGAAGCTATTTCGTGCCTTCCATTAGCTCTGTTGTACCTTATAGCTTACTGCATTTTTACCTTTGCTGCTCTTACCTCTGTTATGACTGAATGAAAAGTCTATAAGTACATTTGATATTGGGGTAAAGAAAATATTAATGGAATTGCCATTTTAAAAAGTTCAGGCAATTTGTTGCTATACTGAAAGCACCAGAACTAGTTATATAACGTTAGACTTTGTGAAACAGATAGCAAATTGGTAGGCATGATATAAACAGATAGCCAAATATGTCATCCATCTACACAGCAGATGCGGTATGATAGTGGCATGCTGATTTAGAAGAGTTGCCTGTTGGCCTGTGAGAGTGAGACATGTTCAGTGTTCTATGGTCTCTTTGCTTCAAAATATTTAACAATTCCTAGATTGGACAGTGATTTTTGTGAGATGTAGGCTAATTGCCTTAAGACTGGACTCTTTTTATATAGAACACAGACAGCCATTACATGATAATAACTTGCATGTGATAACTAGTGTAATGTTGGGGTAATGTTGTAGCCATGAGGATCCTTGCCTCTTGCATGTAATAACTACTCATTCTGAAGTGAGTATTCAATAGGCTTTTTCATTGCTAAGCGAGCAGTTGGATGCTACTTTGAGGCATTTAGATCCCTAACTATGGGCATCTAAGTTTGACAATTTTGGCTGAAGTAAATATCATTCAGATGAGTTGTAACATGGTTGAAATTGTTCTACATTAGTTTTAGCAAAAACCTAACCAGTAAAAAATAAATAAACAAACAAGCAAAAAAGAATTAAAATGCAATCTTTTAAATTTCAGTAAAAGTATTTTCCCTTTTCTATGAGTGGATTAAATAACACATATTCCTAAAGGGGTATGGAGGCTTCCAGCTTGAACTAGGACTAAGTATTTTAGTGATAATTTATGGAGACTTGGTTCTTTGAGTGCTCCCGGTGAGGGAGGAGGCAGGCGCATTGAATAGGCATTGAATCTGAAATATAGCACCAAAAAAAATCATTCAGCACTAATTGACACTAAAAATCTGTTACCAACTGTTCAATGATCTGTCCCAAGCTCACTGGGCATGTGTACACCTACCCCCCAGGGTGCAGTTGGTTCTGCGCTGTCATTTAGTACTTGCTTTAGAAAGCACTAAATGACAGAGCCATTACTGTACAGTCCCGGTTATTTTTTAGCAGCTGTCACCGTAGTGATGTGGTATAGTGAGGTAGCTCGTCACTATGGTGACATAGCGTCAGTGTCACGATTTTTGCCTGCCAGTGCTATTTTGCCATATCGGCACGCTACATTGCCATAGCACATCACTATGGGGATGTAGCATCACATGTATGTGGGCTCACTGTGTATTGCAGATCTTTTTATCTTGAAAGTTGTGCTCTTGCACAGCCAACTTATAGACAATGTGGCTAAAGCAAAAGACAATAAAATTAAGCCATGCTGTTCACACTGTGAGATTCTTTTCACAGTTAAGTGATATTCCTCTGCTCAGACAAAACAAAGTTATTTTTTTTCAAGAGTATTGATTTAAAAAAAATACAATACATAAATCAGAAAAATATCTATATCAACTGTACATGTACACGTGATGTCACAAACAAGCAATACAAGGAAATGCGGGGGTGGTGGGGAGAGAGAAAAGAAGGGATAGAAGGAAAGAGAAGTGTGCAATGAGTGACAATTTATCTACCAAAATATTCTAAGAATTCCTTCCAAATTGCACCAAACTTTTCAAAGCTATTGAACCTGACTCTCTCTATAGGTGTCAAATGTGCCATCTCATTATACTGAGTTTCAACCTTTGGAAATGTCCTCCTTTTTCAGTGTAGTAATATAATCCTGCATGCTACTAATAAGGCATACTGTAAAAGTTCAGTTTGGGAAGCATTCAGTTTGAATTAATAAAGTCCTGTTTTGTCTTACAATGTGCAGTGATTGTCATATGCAAGGTATGTGAAAGTGCAAGATACTGCATTAGATGCTGGTTGTGCAACTTTTTTTGCATCAAGACCTCAAATATATCCTTAAGCCCTACAATCTTAGTAGATGCCAAATGCATCTTTATTGTTGGATTGTGAAAGAACCTAATTTAAGACCAAATATTGTCCTTGGCTATGCTTGAATCACTGTAATTGTTTGTGGGAAAAAAAAAAAAAGGTGTGTGTGGGGGGGTGGGGGACAAAACCTGGTCATTATTGCTTCCTGATGAATGTAGAAAAGATTTAGTGAGAGAAGGGGGTCAGGACATTGGACTTCTCCCTAATTCTTTTTCATAGGAACATTGGCCAGGAAGGCCAAGGAATCCCTAAAATCACTGCTTTGAATCCTTGCATGCAATTTACAAGGCCTGATACCCAGCTGTAAAACTCTAAGATTTTTTTTTAACTTTCTCCTATATAGACATTCCAAATGGTTAACATGCAGCATGAAGAAAAAATGCTTTTTTTAACAATACTGCGGTACTTCCTACCATAACGTTTTCTTTACGTAACCGGTATCACTGTCAGTGCAAAACATAGGCAGTTGGTTACCAATCTGTATATTAAACTAGTCTTCTTCACCTCGCACACACTAATTGTGATTTTTACTGTAGATGTTACACAGGTCCTGTTCCATCTGCTGATTACCTGAGGAACTGAGCTGCTTTATAGTAAATTTTAATCCTTTCCATGGATAAAAAATGCTAAAATTACCAGAAGCAGCTTTTTGCCATGGGCATTGCTGACAATGTAAGCATAACAGTTCATAAACGTAAGTCTGTTCCTGGATACATAGATACCTAGGGATCAGGAAGTCATAAGCAGCTCTGAAAATGGGTTGGTAAATAGTTTAAATCCCTCTAGTGATTAGCAAAAATGCCTTGAAGTGGTTTTTAAGCTCAAAAGCTGTGTTTGCTTTATGCTTTCAAATGCATTTGTTTCTGTTCACTGAGAAGTGCCTTTTGATGTAAATAGTGAGTTCTAAATTCACTGAAAATAACAAGATAAACAGATTTATTTTTTAAACAAATTTAAATATTTTAATATTTGACCTAATTTTTAAAGAATATAAATGGCTAGTGTTTTTAATGAGCAGCTCACTACAGCAGTTGTTTTTTTGAATCTTTTATACTTCATTCTATTAGCTCTACAGGTTAAATCAAAGAATAAATCCAGGTCACTTCTTCCCTCCTTATTCATCTTCCCAAAAGTGAACTGCTCCATCTTTCTGGACAAAGAGAGATCAATATATTTTTTCCTGTAGTGTAGCTTGTCAATATGGCTCCAGGATTGGCTGACAGAGACTGCTTGAACACTAGCAGCCCAACCTTGCAAATTCTTATCACTAAGCACAGTGCAATGGAAACACAGCTGTTGCCTAGTAGTAAGTGTTTTCAAGAACTAACATTAAACCAAGTCCTTTTTTCTCCTCCTTTTCACTATGCCAGTGAGTCTCAGTCAGGATCTTGTGAACCCAAAGTGTCACAAATATTCTGAGCTTTTGTGGTCTGAGTTATTTGCAATAGAAGAATTACTTTATTATTTTTCCATAGTCAAAAAAAGAGTGAAAACTAAGAGCTGGCATTTTCTGAGGGTGCCTTGATCTAACAAAGGGGACCTTTAGTTTAAAAAGTTTGAGAAGCACTGCACTATGCATAGCACTTTGTTGCTTATGGGTAAGAAATCAAATGAGAGATTTTTTTTTTTTTAATAGAGGATTCATGCGGATGTTATTCATTTCTTAGATTTAACCATTAGTGCCTCATGACAGCAGAGTATTATTTCTAGGAAATGATGCATTTTTATATTTCAGCAAAACCCCAGCCTGTTTGTATTGCATATCTCAAACCTGCTGTTTCATATTTGCATGAATTAATTGCATTTTTGCATTGATTTCAGAAGGAGCAATGCAGGTGACAGGGAGAAGGCACTCCAAGTGATGCTTCAAGTGCTTCAAACATGTGATCAACCTGCTCCAGATATGTTCTGCCTGTGTGGGAGAATCTACAAGGATATGTTCCTTGATTCTGACTGTAAAGATACCAGTAGCCGAGACAGTGCCATTGAATGGTAACAGAAAAAAACAAAATAACATGTAATAACATTTTCACAGTTGTGAATTAGGCTGTGAAAAATAAACTAAACAAATTACTTCTGTACAGCACTGTGAAAGACTGAAAGGCTAAATCTTTTGCTCGTTCAGTCCTTTCATAAGCAAGCTCTTATTGAAGTAATTGTTAGGTGGTTTAGAAGACTTCAAGTAAGGACTTCCATTTTGCCAAATGCACTTACCAGTGGGGCTTTTAGTTTGAGGGGCATTATTTTTGTTCTGGGGAAGAGGAGTGTCAAAATGCAGTTTTGTCTTTTTTAAAGAATGTGTAAATTGTTGGTCTTCTGGCATGGGTTTTGAGTGCTGCTTAGGCAGCTTATTCTGAATAGAAGCCACCTATCTGTAGAGGCCATATGAAACCTATGCAGTATTTACATACCATTTTATCAATATTTTGATGGCTTGAGAGAGAGAAGGAATGCAATTTTTTTCCTACTGGTCTTTGCACAATCAAATCAACCAAAAAAAAAGAGGTAGTGATGTAGACTGAGTGAAGGTGTCCTCTGCCAGTCAGTGGCAAGGGGCGGGGCCTTCTGGGCCCCTCTGCCAATCAGAGGCAAGCTGCAAAATATGGCTCTGCGTGATGCTTGTGTGCCATGAAAAACACTTTGTCTTGCTGTTCCTTAGGTAGGTCCCTACTCAAATGTGTGCAAATTGGCAAATCATAAAGTTGTAGGCAGATGCTGTCCTCTGTTATGCTGACAAATTAAATCATATTCTCAAAAGCGTGTCCTGCTCAGGGTTCTCTTGGTACAAGTCGCAATACTTTCTTCACAGTTGGCTAAGTGTCTGCAGCACTTTTTACAATTGTGAAGTATTTAATGTTTGTTGTACAGGGAGATGTGAGCTCTTCATTCTTTCTCTGCAGGTATCGCAAAGGATTTGAACTCCAGTCAAGTCTGTACTCTGGAATTAACCTTGCAGTTTTGCTACTTGTTGCTGGGCAGCGGTTTGAAACCTCTATGGAACTGAGAAAAATAGGTAAGCAAAAAAAGTACAATGCTACAGGCTGTTTTCTGTGGGGGGTTTTAAATTGGAGAAAACTTGAATTTTTTGGAACAATGAGATGCTAAGGTCCAATCTTTAAAGATTCTCTTCATTCATTGTTGTCCTGTGGCCCTTTGTGCCAGCTGGGCTGTGCCAAAGGAGGCCATATTCGTTACAGAACCAGCTGTTTATTTGTTACTTCTGCACATTGCACTGCAACATAGAGCTAGAACAGAGGTAGGATGTGGGGTGGCTAAATAGGATCAGCGACCTAACCATATTGCACCCCTTTAGTGACTTATAATTGCCACTGAAACTGAGGTGAAAGTCAGGAAGCCACCAGGGCCTCTTCTATCACTGATTTAGGCAGACCCTTCTAGGTCAAAATTTGGTAATTGGAGCCAGTTGCCCAACTAAAATTTGAATTTCCCCAGATTTCAGGTACTTGGATTTAACCCCATCCTTGATTATAGACAGGTCTATAAAAATAATTGTAGTATGACTTAACATTTCCAAGGTGTACGGTTAAACAGTTTGTTGGGAAGAAAAGGAAGCTTGGAAAAAATGAACAATTACTGGGATGTGGGACAATTCTTCAGTGTCAGCATGCTTGCCAGTGATGTTGGAAAAGCAGTACAAGCAGCGGAGAAGCTGTTTAAACTGAAGCCACCAGTTTGGTAAGTAGTAGGTGCTTCTATTATGTACATGTAACCTGTGTCTTCCAAGTCTGTGGAGACTTTCGTAATTAGGCTGGACAAAGCACAGCAATTAAGTAATAATATGGAAAAAAATCTGCAAAGACAAAGGAAAAACTAGATGACTTAATCAGCTTATAAATAAAAAAAAATGTTGTGGCTGCATAATGTGAATGAGCTCCCTTATTATTGTTGGGATGCAGGGGGGAGGTTAGTAGAAAATAAAATTACCCATCTTAGTGACAATGATGATACATGTCCCAAGAAATGTGTGCAGTAAGGTAGAGGTGACTTCAAGTGAAGCTGAATTCTCATCAAAGTAGTGTCCGTTAAATTCTACATTACTCTCTCATCTGATCTCTTCTATGGCATGATCACTACTTGCTGATCCATGTAGTTTCCCCATCAGATATGCTTAACAGCTCAGCAGTGAGACCACACTGTAGAATTTATCCCTACACTTTATATCACATCTGAAAATCTGTAGAATCGACACCATCACATGTAAATGACAGAGATCTATAAAATATGTTTAAGTTGGTTTAGGATTATATTTATGAAAAGTTTTATAAGATGCTAAACCATTGAAAATCTTTTGGGGGTTACTGTTTATTTCAGTCCATTGACTGACTGTGTGTTCTAGGTACTTGAGATCATTAGTCCAGAATCTGTTGTTAATCCAGCGTTTCAAGAAACTCACCATAGAGCATTCTCCTAGACAAGAGAGACTCAATTTCTGGTTAGATATCATTTTTGAGGCAACAGAAGAAACAACCAATGGACTGAGATTTCCAGTAAGATGTTATGTCTGGTTTTATAACTTGTATTTCTTTCATATATTTCATTTTGTATGGGGTGGGAGGTAAAAGAAGTTAGACTGTAAACATAACAAAATCCTAACTGGCCAACATTTTATTGTATGGCATTAACCAGAATCTTTCAGTATTCAGTTACAAGGCATCTAGTGTTGTCTCCAGTGCTAAGTAACCAGCACAACCATAATAATATTGTTTTACAGTAAGTAGGAAAAAATAGGGTAGTTGTAAAATATAGCACATGTGCAAATACACACACATTTTCAAATGTATTACATGCACACACACATATGGTTTGAAATTGCTTTTTATCTATAAATTGCTTTTTCCTGGGTGCATCTACACATGATGCTACATTGGCATAGCAATGCACCACGGTGACGTGTCTGTGGACAAAAACTGTGCTACCGCCGCTATGTTGGTATAGCAACATGCTCCATTGGACTAGGGTATTGCTATGGCAATGTAGCGGCTAAAAATAATCATTCGCCATCGGCACAGCACAGTATGGCCTGTTACTGCGCTGTCATTTAGTACTTCCAATGATGGTGCAGTGTTAGTACTGCCTGTACTAAATGATGGCATGGTAACAACAGCATGTTGTTAGCTTGTAGACGCGCCCCCTGAGGTCCTGTTGCACAGTAGTAAACAGGAGTGTGCATTTCCTTCTAGGTATTAGTGATAGAACCAACCAAGGTCTACCAGCCTGCATATGTGTCCATCAACAATGAAGATGATGAGAGATCTCTCTCTCTGTGGCACGTCTCACCCACTGAAGTGGTAAGGGAAGATGGCACTTTCTTCACCTGTAGATCTTGAAGCAATTTGCAAACACTTAAGCCTTGCTACGTTCCTGTGAAATGGGTAAAATTATATCTATTTTATGTATGGGTAAACAGAGGTATTATAGAAAGAAGTTTAAGACAGCAGAGGGAATCGGTGGCAGATCTGAGATTAGTACTCATGGGGTCTTGACCTCTGGTCTTGGGCTTATTGCATTAAAACATACACGCTCTAGAATTTCATGCCTGATACTGATATCCTCCATTTACTTTCTCTTTTTGTACTTGCATATGCAGTGTCTTAATGATGCTACTCGGAGCTAATATGTCTTTAGCTATTATTGACACAGCACCATGATATACTTAGTCTAGGCTTCAAACAGACATTGCCTATGTGCCACCATAAACATATTTATAGCAGCACAAAACATGAGCTAACAGATGCCAGGATGCCCAAATTTGTGAGCATGATAATTTGTGGTCATAGCTTATGCTGCCTTTTCACTGCTGAAGTCAGTTATCTTATGGTGGGAGAGCGTGGGCAGCCCAAGTGCAGTCTGCAAGCATGGAACAGTGAAATCCCATGCGAGTTCATGCCACACGTGCAGAGGCACACCCTGGGAATTGTCCTCCAGGTTATTCCCAGAGCATGTGTATCATGCTGCTGCACCCCAAACTGGGGTGTGGTCCGCAAGCATGGAGTGGAGAACTGTCATGGGAGTTTGCCCCCTCCACACTGCAGATGCTTTTCCTGGGAATCCTCCTGCAGGGAATCTCCATAGAGTGTGCATCACACTGTTCAGGCATGGGCCTCTTTGCTCATGGTTCTCCCACTTGCAGATGTGCACCCTTGGCATGTCCAGATGTGCGTGGACATTTGGTTCCCTGGAGACAACCAGCAGCAGCACACCTTGTGCTGCAGCTACTTGTCCCTGTGGAATGCCCGTGCCATGTGCATTTTTGGCATGTGGCAAGTTACCCCGGGGGCAGTAGGGGAGGCTGGAGCCAGCACTGCTGGCATCAGTAACCTGACCTTGGGTCCTGGGGGCCTCCCAGGGCTGCAGCCATGGTGATCCTGCTGGGTGGAGCTTGGTCGGCAGCCGTAGCACAGCTCCAGGTGACCTGGCTCTGCTTTTCAGCAATACGCACTGCTCAAGTGTGCACTGCTCTGTTTTTTTTTTCCATGGGCCGAAAAAAATGGAGCAGCACATGCTTGGGCAGCACACCCTTGCAGTGTGATTGTACGTATGTGGCACTGCAAATGTGTTTGCAGCGCCACATACCATATGACCGTGCTCATCTGGATGCACCCCTAGGTCAGAGTTCAGCACCCAGGGGTGTGAGGAGTGGCAGGGGCCTGACCCTGTAGGACAACCACTCCAGTGACCTCTGTAGATGCCACTGAAGTGCACAGCTGTTCCAGAACATGTCCCACTCCAAAGAAGATGTCTGGGGATATCCTTGGTCTAGCACAAAAGGTATAAGGATTTGGGTAGGCAAATGACACAGGAGTCAGGAGTTTTTGGAGTGTGGGGTTTTAAGAGAAGGTATAGTAAAAGAGTGGGGAAGAGATGCAGCATAGGGGCAAGCAAACTCTTGGCAGTAAGAAATAATTGTAATTCGATGTGGAAGGGGAAGAAGGAGAGTAAAACAGCCTGGAAGTATTTGAGAAGGGGGGACATTTTCAGAAGGACATGTCAGGAGGATAATCTTTGTGCTTGGACTGTGGATAGACTTGCTAGGGACAGATATAAAATGTCAGAAAAAAGAATGGCTCAGGATTTTAAGGTTTGTTTTTTCCCTGGGTTTTGATCTGGTGCAGTTCTACATCACTCCCAGTGTAGACCACTGCTTATATGGGACTAATTCCATCTTATGGGGTAGAGTCCCTTGGAGGCTGGCCTAACTTATGTTAGCTGGGAACAGCAAACAAGACACCATGCACCACATTGGGCTATTTGGAGGGTAGCATTTCTGGTCACACTTTATCCTTCCACCTCTCTAGCTTTTCATTATGCCAAGGCTTCTGGGACTAGGACTTATGGAAAGATACAGAATGTTTCCATCCTGTTTGTGCCTGAGCCACACAAAGGGGCCATGCCCACTATATTTTTTAATATGAAAGGATTACTTCTTGACTCAAGATGCACTGTTTAGTACATCAAACTTTAACACTGCCTTCAAGGCTGCATTTTACATTGTCTCGGACGTCACTGTGATACTTGTCAAATTTCCTTTTCTAAAGTTTGTAAATATAGCATTTAGTATAGTTCCCTACTCTGTAAAAGCCCATGCATTATTTCAAATTAAAAACCTGAGATGTCTCCAAAAGAAGATAATATTTTGGCTATTATCTGAGGGATTTTTCATATGCTATGACCTTGCCTTCAGATAACAAGCTCAGATTAACCTGTGCTTGACTTGGATCTTTGTTCCTTACAGAAGCAGATTCATGAATGGAATTTTACGGCCTCCTCCATTAGGGGAATAAGGTCAGTACATTTGAATACAGCTAATTATGCTTTTTATGTCTCACTTAAGTTAGATAGCTGTGCCTTAAAACTTGAGATGATAAACTCTGCTTTTCATTACCCATTATAAAAAAATTTTCTGCCCTGTGACATGGCAAAAGGGAAGAACCTGCCTCTCAATAGGAGAAAGGGAGCAGAACACTTTGTCTGTAGTTTGACTTAGTCTTATCTAAATATGAGCATTTTAATTTTAAAATCATCATTTTGAACCTCCTTTTCCTAAACCAGTCCTTGCTGGGTGTGTTCCTGCTTTATCAGTGGCAGGTATTGGAGTCTAAATTCTGAGAAAGCAACTGAATTGTCTCTTTGTTCTCTTCTGTCATGGTTGCTATTTCTGTCTTTAAAACCAGCAGGAAAAGGGCAGCCAAACAAATGTATTGCTTGCTTGCTTTGACAAGAGAACTGTTTTATGTTCAGACAAGAAAAATGCAGAAAGCCTAATCTATCCAGACTTCCATATAGCATTTAATATGGTGTCACATGAGAAGTGTATGAGTTTAGATGAAGATAAGTACAAGAACTGTAGGACAAGCCTAAAAAAGAAGGCACTAGGTTATGTCTAAAGGAAAATTGTTGAACCTGAAGGAGGTTGTAAATGGAGTTCCTCTAGGATTGGCCTTGGCTCTTACTTGCAGTAAGAACTGGGTTGCAGTAATAGAATAGGATGAAATTTAGCACAGTTACAAAGTTTGATATCATGGTTCCTGCCATTACTACTCCTTTCTCCTGCAGCCACAGAGAAAAGTCTATGTCCATCCTTTTTATATCGTCTCCTTCAGGTATTTGTAAATAGCTATGCAATCCTCCTCAGTCATCTCTTCTTATAGAGAATCATAGAGAAGTAAGGCTGGAAGGGACTTCCAGGGGTCATTTAGTCCAACTCCCTGCCTGAAGCAGGATTATTCCTATCCAAACCATCCCATAGAAACTATAATCTAAACTTTACAGTCAACCCTGACACAACACAGACCTAACACCCTAACCTGTCACAAGTAAAACAGGGGAACCACAGCAGTCAATATCCTGCATCTATGAAATCTTGTCAACAAGAGATCCTGGGTAGAGGAAGGCAAAAACCAAGTTCTTTCAGTCTTTCCTCTTAAGTCTTGCTTTGTAGTCCTCTAATAATTTTTGTCCCTCTCCACTGGACTAAATTCTGATCTGTCTGCATCTGTTTTGAAATATGGGGCCCAAAACTGCACCCAGTATTCCAGGTAAGGCCTCACCAACACCAGCTGAAATGAATCAAGTGAGAGTAATTCTACTTGGCCACTCCAGTTCAATACAGATGCATCTGATCCTGTTCTTAAGGTCACCAGAAGTTCCCAGTATAACATGGAAGTAGAATTTGGCACTGTATTTGAATGACACTATGAATAATTGGCTATAATAAGTAACAATTATTCTTGAAGTGCAGGAACCAGATAGTGAAGACTGTGTTCTAGAGGATTTGGTAGCAGCCATGGAGAATATATTTGACCCCCCAAGGCTGTTTCACAGCCACTGTTTCAGCCTTAGTTGCCTATGGGTCCTGCCCACTCCTTCACCTACATGACTGTGTTGGACGGCAATGGCTGGTGTAGCCTCCTCGCTTCCCCATTGCTTTCATGCCCAGCAACCTTCAGGGATAGATTCAGGTGCCACCAGACTAGCCTATAGCAAAGGTACAGGAGCAAGATTCACAAGGGGACTTGGGTTTGAGGATGCCAAGTGGTTCCACACCTTTCATATTAAGCACCCAGTTTCCAGAGAAGAATTCACACTTTTAAATGGGAAATTCAAGTGTCAAGACCTGGAATTCACCAGTGCTCAGCACAGTGAGCAGAGGTTTGCTGAAACCAGACAATAAGAAGTGCAAAAGAGAGAAAATGTGTCTGAAATCCCTCCTGAAACACTGTCTCTTTTCATTGATTTGAAAAATCATTTATATAAAAGCTTCGGTATAAATACTTATAATATGTCAAATATCTGTATAACAAGACAGATACTTATTCAATGTCTTGTTGATTTAGTACACCCACAAAAGTAATAATATCTTGGAAAATGTGATTTACAGTTATTTATTAAAGAATAGGCTCATAATACTATACCTTGGATATCTGATTACTATGCAGTTTGCAATAAAATGTTACAATATATGTATTTGCAACAATAGATTATTCTGTTTTCTTAATATAGATGATATTTTTTGTGTGATTTTTCTCCCCCCCATTTCTCATTGTCTAAATGTATGTTATATGAATTATATTTTTGTTTATCTTGTGTATTAAATCATTGCGTGGGCTCAGCTCAGTGCTTCCTACAAATAAGGTAAATCACACACCCAAGTGCAGTACCTTTCAAAATTGTTGCTTGGGTTTGGGGAAAGTGTCATTTAGGTTCAACTCTGCTTATGAGCCTGAGAGTCACAGAAATCCCCAACTACTGCTAAACTGTAGGGGTTTCATTATATAGCAGAAACAGGGCATCTCTGCAAACTTAATACTTGGTAGATATTGGCATCATGATTGTTCTGTGTAGGTCGGTTTGCAGAGGGAGCTTGGGTGTTTAATTAGGGAAGTAAAACGGGCTTGACAAATGAGTGGGTATGTCTACATGTGCAATTAGGGTGGAGCAATAAACTTTGGCACAGTTCTCTCTGAAGTGCGATGTTTGCATATGCCTTTGGACCATGGCACTGGCAGAGGGCCCCATGGGTCAGCTTGCCAGCCCAGGGCTTCTCTTACCCAGTAAACTGTACGTATGGTGGATAGGTTGACTGAGGCATGAGAATGCTACAGTGTGGGGCTAACTGGCAGGCAGCCCCCGCACTGTAACACCCTTGTGCCTTGGCCAACCCCGTCAGCATCTACACGTATATTGTGATGGAGTAAATAACTCTGCCGTAGGATAGTACATGTGTCTGGCAGTAGCATCCTATGGCAGAGTTAATTAGTTTACTTTGTCCTAATAGCACCACACATGTAGACGGTGACATTTTATGGTGGAGCTAATTAGTCATCACCACATTAAACATCTTGTGTAGATGTTCCCAATGTGCACTAATGCAATATCTGTAACCATGAAGTCCTGAAGCAGGACTCGCAAGTGTTTTCTGTCCCTTTTTTCAGCTCAGGAGTCAGAATAGTGGCATGCAGGTCTGCTGTGTACAATGTCTATGGCTTGCAGGTGGATTCCAGTTCTACCAATTTCTGCTAAGTTCCTCAACAGAAAGGCCATTTACTTTTGTTTTATGCAGGGATGAGGAAACCTTAATTTTCACTATGAGATCTTATTTCAATGGCAGATAGATTTGTGCATGAATTTGGTCTTTAAATGACTCTTAGAAGTTTCTGAATTCAAGTATGTGCTGCCTTTTTTTCCCTTTTCAGATTTACTGCAAAAATAACTTAAGTATAAAATAAAAATATTTGTCAGCTTACACAAAAATAGCCCTGGAATCAAAAGGCATGTTACAACGGGGCATTTTCATTGGATGGACCTTCAAGTACTGGGAAGTTTTTGTTGAAGACAGTAAGAGAAAACACAGCAGTCAGGTTGAAGTCATGATTCCATTGATATTAGAGCTAGTTGGTATTCAGTTGGGGTCATGATTTCTCCTTCAGGAATATGCAACATAAAAGAAGTTTTATTTGCCAGGAAAAAAAATAATGTATTGCATTTCTGATAGAATTAATTGCGTCTTTGACTGCCTCATGAATTTGCATAATTCATAAAATTTAAAACTACTCCTTTCATCCTGCCTAATATGTACATCTAGAGTAAAACATGTTTCAATTTAATTTTTTCACAGTATATCCAAGTTTGATGAACGATGTTGTTTTCTTTATGTCCATGACAACTCTGATGACTTTCAGATCTACTTTTCAACAGAGAGCCAGTGTAGTAGGTGAGTTCAATTTGACATTAGTAAAACTTAGGAGGTGTATGACTAGGTTATGTTGGTTCACAGGAATCATGGGAAAGTAAGGTTGTAAGGGACCTCATGAGGTCATCTAGTCCAGCCCCCTGCTCAAGGCAGGATTGTCCTTTAACTAAACCATTCTAGCCAGGTGTCTATCCAATCTGCTCTAGAAAATTTCCACAGATGGTGATTCCATAATTTCTCTAGGTATCCTGTTCCAGTGCTTGATCAGCCTTATAGTCAAAATGTTCTTCCTGATATCCAACCTAAATTTACTTTACTGAAGCTTGAAGCCATTGCTCCTAGTCTTGTCCCATGTAGCCATAGAGGAAAGCCCATCTCTGTCTTCTCTATAATTGCCCTTCAGGTATTTGAAGGTTCAGTGGTGGACAAATTGTCAAATTTTTGGATAAGTAGTAAAAATGAATTTGTTCACCTGTTTCCTTGACTTTTTTCTGATTAAGAAACTGGGCCAAATTTGGAGAAATTCAAGGTGATCTGAGAGACTTTCTTTACTCAGCCTGTCTTATACTTACTTTTCCAATATTAGGTGGAAAATTATTGGACATAACGTACAAGCCATGGTGTTTGAAATAAAGTATAAATTAAAAGAGCCCATACTACTTTGGAAGTGGGGTGGGGAATGTTGTATATTTCTACATACTATTTATAATGCATATGTATGATATGCAGAAAATTTATTTAACTATGTTTGACTAGTGATTTTGGCTCTTCAGCTTAAGATGCACTAAATCAGTCTGAGTTTTATGGGTGCTTAGCACTTTCTGAAGATCAGGCTCACAAGGCACTGCAAGGTATGTCAGGTTGAACAACCTAAAATTGAGACACTGAATATTCCCAGTCACTTTAAATACCTTGGTTGCCACATTTCTGTAATTGGTTTAGTTGAGACAGTGTCATGCTGTGAATTTATCCACCGAGATCTTTTTATTCAGAACTACTGAAAAAGTTGTTTCTAATTTATGATTAAAATTGTAAGTATAATCTTGGTTGTATTGCAGCTAGAAATACTTCACAGCTAGTTTTTGGAATGTGCATTTTGAACATCTTCAAGAAAACCATCTTATGAATCTGAAGAGAAAAAGTAAATAATGGAAACATAATTCAGAGTATACTAGCTAATACATTGTTTTGCATATGATTCATGGAGGCTGGTTGCTCTCCTTCAGAGAGGTTTTTCTCTTTGCTGACAATGTGATATTTCTTACTTTCAGGTTCTGTGCCTTGGTTAAAGAAATGTTGACAGATGCTGTGGGCAACAATTTGGAATTAGAAGGAGAAACTGATGGAGACACTTTGGAGGTAAGTCTAGGTCAGGGATTGGCAAGCTACGTTTCATGGGATGGATCCAGCCCATGTTGCTGTTAGATCCAGTCTGTGGAACAGGGACTTGGGCAGCAGTCAACAGTGGGAGTTTCCCTGCGACATGCTGTAATGTGACATACTGACTGGGAACTTCACCCATGGTGGTGAGGAGAGGCGATGGTGGTGGGTGGGTCCTACTGCTGATTTAGCCTTTAACCTGAGCTGGGTCATTCTGGTCCACCACTGGACAACGTTGTCCAACCCTGGTCTAGGTCAAAGGTTTATGATTCAAGAATCCTAACACCTTCTCCACCCCCCACCCCCTTTTCCATTTGTTTGAAAAATAAGGCTAAAGAACATCAACGTTCACCAAAATGTACAAATACCTACAACACTCCTCTTTCCTCTTCTCTTCCCCATTAGGGGAATTAGAACTCCATAATAAATCCAGTTTCTGGGTTTCTTTTTTTCTTTCCAATTTATTCTCTTGTGGTTCACCCAAGTCCAAACTCTTGCTGTACTTGCTCATCCCATCAAAGTCCTGGCTGAGATACCCAGTACCTAAGATTATTAAGTTCTGTTTATGATAATGATAAGGGACCTCCTGCAGTAGTTGAGGCTTCAAGTAGGAACTGTAGAAAGGAAAGCCCTTCACTGCAATGCTGTTGTTGTTTGAGATGATACACTAATGGAAAGACATGTTTTCACAGGATTTTGTAGGTGTTGCAGAGAATTCCTTCATTTTGTCAGTCTAAAGTTCATCAGGTGTGGGAGTAGTGGTTATATCCATGCTGGTTGAGGGAATGTGTGAGAAGCAATATCTGGTAATAACTTTTATTGGACCAACTATAAAGTTGGGAGAACTTTTAGACCATCTTTTGGCCATACAGTGCCCTTCCTTGGATCTGGGAAAGAGGCAGACAGCCTTCTTGATGGGCCTAAGTAACAGAGAGAGAGTAAGAAGTCTTCCCTGGAAGCCACGCATGTCATTGTTGATGTCAGGAAAAAGTAGGCACTAAAGAGAACCTAACCAAATTGTAGGCCAGATCTTTGGAGGTGTTAAGTCAGAATTTCTAAAATGCTGTCTGACTAAATGGCTGCAGTAAAAAGGATTGTGGTAGTAGGTTTGTAGTATTGTTGTAGCTGCCCAGGAAATGTCAAGAGGCAAGGCTTTTTTATGATGTCTTTTATTTGACTACCTATACAATTGGGAGGCTGTTGGACAAACTTTTGAGCATCAGGTGCCCTTTCTCAGATCTGAAAGGAAAGCAGATGTGGGCTAAGCTAAATATCAAAGAAAATACTTCATGCTAATCAAAACAGCCTGCTTGGAGAGATGGAGGAGGGCTATGAACTCAGAATGCCATTCTGAGACAAAGAAGAACAGTAGAATAGGCAATCTAGTTAGTGGCAGGGCAAGACTATTCAAGAAGGGAGTAAGATTGACAGTATTTGTAAAGTTGTGAAGAGCCATAAAGTCAGGAGCTATATTAAGACCAATTTTTTGTGGTAACTTTTGCAAATAATCTAGAAAATATCACTGTGTTAACAAGGATGTTTAGAATGGGGATTTTTCAAATCAGTTGGGTGTGGGCATACAAAAAATAGAACTCTTGGTTCCAATTGGGTGTGGGGACACGCACATATATGGAGCCCGTTCAAAAGAGGAATGTTTTAAATGGGCAGCAGCTGTTATGCGTAAAAGAACTGTGAAGGAATCAAATGTATGCAGCAAAACCCCTCCGACATTAACCCTGCTTCATCTAGGTAAAACTCTGTCTCCTGTTACTAGCCCATCACAAAGGTACTGCCCTTTGTTTTGTCACCCAAAATCTCTGACCTGCTTTGGGTTAAAGTTGCTACATTTGAATCATTCTCAGCTTGTTCACACACAAAAATTAGAATGTAATGGCTGTTGCCCTTTTGAAACTCCCCCTTTTAAATCACTCCAAATGTATGGGTGTCTACACCAACTTTTTAAGACTCCTGGACATTGATATTGAGGAAGTTCCTGTCCCTTGAAGAACTGTTACTGCATCAAAAAGAAGTCCTCCAGACCCTGGGTTCAGACTGTGATTTGAATTAGTTAGTTTAAGGGCATGGACACACATAATACTTAGAATAGTTGAACTGAGATTTAAACTGACATAGACAGACATATAAACTTGTTAAACTGGTTTGAATTAATTTGGAATGTACCTGAAAAATCAGCTGCTATTTTGAACTGGGTCACAGTGAATGAGTGTTATGTGTGGACACCACGCAGTCTGTGATATGGATCTGGTTGGTCCTTCAGGCATCCCACAATGCATTGCTCCCCCCTCTCTCTCTCCCACCGGCACAGACACTGCTGCAACTGGCCTCTCTGGTAGGTAGCCAGAATTCTACTGCCCCTCTTTTTTTTCTTTTGTTGGAACTTTTTATGAATGAACTCTCTTTCATTGCTTGTTCAATAAAAGCTACCTTTCTAACAGCCAGCTGTGTCCTCACTCCCTATTGACCACAGCCCATCATCATGCCCCCCAGCTTCTGAGAACCAAAAAGTGGGTGTCCAAGCACTCCTTCCCCCATCCAGTCAGGTGATCATACTTTTGTCATTTCTAAGCTACAGAAGTTTATTAAACTCATGTTTAGGAAACAAGGGAAAACAGAAAAGTGATGGAATGTCTCCCAGCTACCCGTTACCCACCTCATGGGACTTTTAAAACATGGGTGCAAGCACAATCCTCCACTCAGCCACTTGAGGCACGTGATGTTGGGTGCTCTATCGCAATCCCTGGTGTCAGAGCCACAGCATTTCACACAATTGTGAACCGGTTCTGAATTGGTGATACTATGGTGTGATACAGTTGTTAATGTCTATCCATACCTTTGGAGTTCAGCTGTGGGTCTTCTCATTTGCTCATAACTATAGTTAAATTGCACACCAAGAATGCTCATTATGCACAGACTTGCTATAGTTGCCTGTGTACAGAACAGTTGTGACATAGTGTCCACCCAAAATAAAGAGAGGAGACCTGCTTAAATCCATCAAATACATTCAGTCAAGGTTCCCTCTAAGTTGCATGTGTGTGTGGCTGCGCACAATAAAAAATCTTGCCATGCGGTAACTTTTTAAGGCCATGCACCCACCTGGAGAGGAGTGTGGCTGCGGCTTCCTGTAAACTTTGGGCATGGAGAGCCGCGGAGGCACTGGGACCAACTTGGGACACTTACCGGCAGTAAGTTATCGTTCAGCTGCATGGAGGCCGCTCCTCTCCTCACCATGCCGGCACCCCCATGGGGAGGGAAAATGGTGCGGGGAAGGCAGCGGCTCCTCCCCAAAGCAGGGTGGAGGCAGGGATGAGGTCTGAGGCTGGGGCAGAGTTGGGTGTTGCTCAGGTTCTGCTGGCTTTGGGGAATTGCTCCACTCTCCAGCCCCTTTGGGCAAGCTTTGCCCCGAGCCCTGACGCCATGTACCTCCCTGGCCCGGGGTGGCTGGAGTAATGGAGAACCTGCCTTGTGAGAGGAGATTGGTGGGTCATAGCCCCAGGCTTCAGAGCTTCTGCTGGTCACCTGGAGGAGCAAGAAAGAGCTTGCCCCTCTCAGCTTTAAGCCCTGGACATTGGCCACAGCCAGAGGTGGGAGATGGGCTGGGAGAGGAAGTGCTGGTGCCCCAGGAGGTATTGAGAGACCACCCAGGTGCAAGGACTGTGGGGGTTTTGCCTGCCTCTAGCATGGGGCATGGTCAGCTGTTTAGGTCTATTTGAACACATCGTGCCCAAGAAACGCCCTGGCACTGCCATGACAAAGGTCTTGGTGCTCCTGTTGTGTCCCGCTCCCGTCCTGTGGCCCACAGTGGGGTTTTGGGGCAGGGGCTGCCCCAGATCTACAGTGTGCAAAAGGGGCTGGAGTGGATGTTGTGGACCCCTTTGCACAGTTGTCTGCCAGCATGTGCAGGGGTCCTGCTTGGGATTTCCCAGCAGGTCCCTTCTAGTCTTATGCTCCTGCATGCAGGCATTCCCTTGGTGCGCGCCAAAAGGGGGAGCCGGGGCCAATTTGGGAATAGACTGAAGCAGTGCGCCCACTGACCAAAGCAGCATGCTTGTGGATTGCTAACCTTAGAGGGAACATTGCATTCAGTGTGTTTGAACCTTCTCCTAACTATAACTGAACTAGGTGACTTGAGAGCTTTCACATTTCTTAGACCACTTGCTAAGGAACAGACTCCTTCTCTAGATTAAGCAGAAGCAGTTTAGCAGTAGCAGAGCAGTCTGCTGTGCAGTTGCAGTCTTCATTATGTGCTGCATGTCATACGATAGCTGTGCAGTTTGAATGTGCTACTGTCAAAGAACTTGACAAGTCTTATGCATGACATTTCAGGTCAGCTGTGTGCATCATATAACTGTATAATGTTGTGGATGGTGAAGTGCTGAAACATGGAAAATGAAACTATTTAGACTGTGGTAATTCAAGTACAGATCCAGAGAGCAGGATATGTTGGGATATGAAAAACAACAAACAGTCTCCCTTAGCACATCCGTAATGCTTGTCCATTATTTCTGAGCTGAAGAAAGAGGGAATTTCAAGGGCATATTGAAACAACATGGGGAAGATGTATCTTAAGGTGGTATCCACTACAACAATGATGAGATTGGATATATTTAACATTGAAGAAAAATTGGTTCTTACGAGAGAAGTATTAATTATAGCAGCAGTTTTAAAAAAGATTTTTTTTTCAAAATGGTGAGTTCACATGAACATGCTGTGAATGGATTTTCCTAGTATGGCATAAACAGCTTTTTGGATTTCAGAAAGAAAAAAGGGAAGTCTGCACACTCCTGATGGTTCATCTTTGAAATTCTAATCTTTCTTGTTTTTTTTTTAAACCGCCTTTTATATAAATGCTTCTAAAATGCCCTAAAGCGGGGGTTGGCAACCTGTGGCCTACAAGTCATATCCAACTTGTGGAGCTATTGTATCAGGCCTGTGGGCCTGGAGCTTTGGTAGCATTCAGCAGTGGGAGAGTTTCCCTTGCCATGATGGGGAAAAGTGGCAGCAGCAACTAGGTCTAGCCTGGTCATTCCAGCCCACAGCCTGCCCTAAATCAATACCCAAGTCTTGAATGTACAGATGAAGGAAAAGCTCAGTGTTTAACTCACCTCTCATAATAAAGGTTCTTTCAGTGACTGATGGTAAACATTCAAGTTTACTTCCTTCATCAATAGACAATTTGTTTCAGTGATAGTTGCCACTGGAATCTCTGCAATGAGATCACGAGAGTGGACAAGATTTCCTGGAGGTATAAATTGGTCTAGCACCATAGAAGTCAATTAACTTGCATTGACTTTTATAATACCTGAGGTTCTAGCTGAGGATGCTCTGAGAGATGTATACAACCGCTTTGCTTTTGCATTTTATTTCTAAAGATCATCATATTTTCCTTTTTAGAGAAAGGAAAAATCCACATAATGAGATTTCAAAAAATGAATTAGCTACAGCTGAACTTAGATGAATTTTGAATACCTTTTAAAATAAGACTTGGTATTGTAATGAGAATATATGCTTTCCTATTAGTACTTCTGTTTCAGAGTGGCTGGTCATCTTCCACTTGTTTTTAATTAATCTAAATAGTCTTTGTGAATCCTTTATATATCAATCACCCTAAATTCTTTTGACTGAGTTATCTCATTGTATTACTGAAGTGTGGATGTAGTCTTGTATTTTTTATTCAGGCAAATGTGTCTGTATATCTCTTAGATGTCACATTTTATAAAGCAAGAAATAAATGATACATGTTATTGTAAAACTTTTTAAATAATCCTGAATTTACAAAGCCGATATACAACTTACACAGTCTGGGTGGTGACTTCTGTTTTCACTCTTTGCATGCCAGTATAAATATTTTTCTGCCTCCAGTATGAATATGACTATGATGAGAATGGTGACAAAGTGATACTAGGGAAAGGTACTTATGGAGTAGTTTATGCTGGAAGAGATCTCAGCAATCAGGTACGAATAGCCATCAAGGAAATACCCGAGAAAGACATCAGGTGAGTCTAATATGATAAATACATTTATATCACTTATAAAAATGCAGTTTGTCAATCTTTTTTCTTATTCTAAAATTTGGTTTGTATATAGTTGTAGTGGGATGCAATGCAAGATTGCACTGTGCTGCAGCTGAGGTCTGTAAAAAGATAGATTCATTTGTTGTATTATAGACACCTTTAATGTCTTCCTCTTTTGCCAGTAATTATTTTTTTAAATAAAGTACCAAGAAGATAGAGCAGGGTCATGGACAAACATACATTTTAAAAAGGAAGGAGGAGCACACATCAGCTTTTATGATCTAGCTCAGTGATTGTCAACCAGGATGTCACAGCAATCTGGGGTGCCTTGAGATCCTTTCAAGGGTGCCATAGATTTTAAATAGGAATCCATAGTTTTAAAAACATTCCGGGTGCATCCAGATGAGCACCGATGTTTGTTTCCCTGGGGACAAGTAGCAGCAGCACGCCTTGTGCCACTGTGCTTGTCCCCAGGTTACACCCTTGCCATGCATGCTCTGGCATGTGGCAGGTTACCCTGAGTGTGGTAGGGGAGGCTGGGACCAGCAACTGGGCTGGCCCCAGCAGCCTTATCTGGGATTCTGGGGGTCTCCAGGGGCTGCAACTGTGGCAGGAAGCCTGCCAACAGCTGGAGTGTGGCTCCGGCTGGCCGGGCTCTGGTTTTGGGTGACACGTGCTGCCCCGCTTTTTTCAGTGTGGCTTTTTTGACCCCCAGAGTCAAACCCCTCCCCCTGCACTGTGCTGCAAGTAGCATCATGGGAAATGCCTGCAGGTGTGGTGTGTGGTGTCACATTTGCAGCCATCTACGGTGTCACATAACGCTCATCTAGACGCAGCCTCTTATGCATTGTGGTCTTTCTGAGCTCTTTGCAACAGAAGAATTGCTCTACTATTTTTCTGTAGTCAAAAACAAGCAAAAATTAAGAGTTAGTTTTTTTTTAGGGTGCCTTGAGTCTAACAAAGGTGCCTTGAGAGCCACTGATCTAACTGTTATCTGCGCATGATCCTGGAGTGATACAAGTTAGCTAAATCACCCTATTTTGACCCTGAATGACACAAGGTGAAAGTGGGAGCAGTTTTGTTACAGTTTTATGGCTACAGAATCATGCAGACATAATAGTTGTATCGTAACAGCTTATATCACTATTCTTTGATACCAGTGAAGTTGCTATGTGAGTCTATATCCTAATTTGATAAAATCCTTTACAGGGATCAGAATTTTGTCATTTATTTTAATAGGAAGTGAAATATTGCTTCCTGAAATATCTTAGCTAGTCAGTATTTTATTTTGAATATAGTCATTGTATCCTAATTTCTGGGAAAGGGACTATATATGTATTTATGTAAGCCAAACAGAGCTGGAAGGTGTGGGAGAAAAAAAAACAACCTGTCCAAGACCACTGTCCTTGTGAGGAACTCTTGTACTCCACAGCTGTCTGTTCTGAGCAGAGCATGAGACATGCCACATTTTGGGCCTTAGTGACAAAGGCTACTTGCAGATGTTAAAAAAAACCAAACCAAAACCAACCCCAAAAAGCCCAACACTTTATTTTGAACTTGGTGCAGGAGTGCATCAAGCCCAGTGCGTGCCCAGAAGAGACAGCGTGTTAGTTGGACCCAGTTCACCCAATATCTGTATGGATTGGGCACTTTAGTGGGACTTTTTCTGGCACTTTTACCTAATCGGTGATTGCATCAGCTTTAGATTAAAGTGCCAAAAAGCTGCTCTGAACTGCCCCATCTATACAGACGTTGTAGAGCCAGGTCAAACTAATGGACTGCTTCTTCCAGTAAAGAGCATTTTTTTTCCTAAGAAGCAGCCAACGTATTAATTGAGGGCTAGAATGAGAAGACTATTATTTGTAACCCAGGTTTTAAAACTAGGTCTCCACCAAAATTAGGCTATTACATTTGCTCCTACCCTTGGTTAATCTCCAATTTATTTTTTCTTGATAGATACTCTCAGCCTCTGCATGAAGAGATAGCACTGCATAAATATTTAAAGCACCGAAACATTGTCCAGTATCTTGGATCTGTTTCTGAAGATGGATATATTAAGATCTTTATGGAGCAGGTACCAGGAGGTTTGTATCATTCTTGGCTATGGTGCCTCAGGGATTTAGAAAGCAGCTGCCAGTGAAAGTCAGTAGGAGTTGGGCAGTGAACTCTTTTAAGAGGGGTGGACAGCTCCACCCATAAGATTTCTACAGTGTAGTTGCCCTTACTGTTGAAGTTTAATTGCATGTGGCATTTTTCCATTTGTAAGCAGATTCTATGAATGTGAAGAATAGATTTGAAGTGTACAGTTATCCTAAGAAGTCCTGTTCCAATATTTACGCACACAGAATAAGAACCTTATTAAGATTACAAAGTTAAGTAATTTGTCATTTAAAAAAGTAAATTAAAAATTAAGATGACAGAATTAAGGTTATGTTACCCCTTTAGCTTGCACGTACAGAAGCAGCCAAGGCAACAATAAAAAGTACATGTGGTTTTATACTAATGCTAGAAGTCTGAAATCAAAGGTGGGGGAACTTGGATGCACAGCAGTAAATAATGCTAAGACATCATAGGCATCTTTGATACATGGTGGAGTGAGAAACATCATTGGGATGCTGTAATACTTGGATATGAATTATACAGGAATGATAGACTAGGTCAGGGGTTTTCAACCTTTTCAACCTTTTCGAAGGTTGCATCCATTGTACTCCCTGGCAGCTGGATGCAGAGCAGTGTACCCCCTGCTTCTGAGTGGGGTGGGGGGAGGGTGATGCGTGGCACGCGGCTGGATGCCCAGTGGGAGCGGGGGGTGGGGAGTGAGCGGCTGGATGTGGAGCGGCAGCAGCTGCCGTGTGCAAGCTTCCCTTGCCCCCTCTCGTACGCTCAGGCAGGCAGTGCCTGCACAGCAGCACAGGATGCTGCATGGTGCTCCGTCTCCACCTGCCCACTCGTACTCCCCAGGGCCTTCTCAAGTACCCCTGGTTGGCAACCCCTGGAATACGTCACACTGGTGGGAGAGTGGCACTCTACATCAAAGACAATCAAATCAAATAGGGTAGATTTTTCAGCCAATAAGGGAGATACTCTCAGCCTCTGCATGAAGGGATAGCACTTCTGTGGATCACTGCGGATAGAAATTCTGGATTTTAATAGGAAAAAAGTACACCTGGTAATATTTTATCTATGCCCAAACCAGGACAGCAGTAATGAGTTAGAAATGATAAGGGAGATGAGAGAAGCTGCAACAGCAGAAAACGGAGTAATAATGAGTGACTTAAACTGTCCACAAGTAGTCAGTCTTCAGGATGGAAAGAAATAAACAGTGGGGTCCCCCAGGGATCTTTGGGGCCAGTGCTGTTTAACATATTCATAAATGATCTGGGAAAGGGGATGGGTAACAAGGTGGCCAGATTTGAGGATGACACAAAGTTTGTTCAAAGTGGTAGAGACCAAGGCGGACTGTGAGGAATTACAGAAGGATCTGGCACTATTGAGTGAACAGTCAACTAAATGACGTGAAATTCAGTATAGGTAAGAGTAAAGTGATGCACATGGGTGAAAATAACTCGAACTATACCTAAACTTGGATGGGCTCTGCATTAGCTGTTATCACACAAAGAAGAGATCTGAGAGTCATTGTGGACAGTTCACAGCTGCTCAGCAGTTGTCAAAAAGACAAACAAAATGTCTGAGATTATTGAGAAGGGAATTGTAAACAAAACTGAAAATAACATTGTGCCCCTTTACAAATCCAGGTGCATCCCACACCTTGAATATTGTGCCCAGTTCTGATCCCCATACCTCAAAAAGGGGATAGAAGGACTAGGTAAGATGCAAAGAAAGGCAACAGGATGATTAATAATATGGATGGGCTTCCATATGAGGAGAGACTAAAGAGGCTCCACCTTTTCAGCTTTGAAGAAATGCTTGAGGGAGGATATTGTAAGGGTTTACAAAATACTAAATGGCAAAGAGAAAGCTTAATTTCTCTTCCTGCAGTCTCCTCCCTGATTATACCAGCCACCTTCCAACTGTTCAGCAAATGAGAAGGATTTCCTAGAGCCTGCAGCTTCTTTAGCTAGGCAATCCTGATTGACCTCCAGAGCAGAGAACATCTTGGCCTTCAAAGACAAAGGACTGATTAAAAAAAAAAAAAAAAAGTGATCATCTAATTAAAGACTTAATAAGGTATACATACAAAAGAAACTAATTATGATGACGAGCAATTAATCATATTAACTATTCGTTATAGGCAAGTCATAGAATTACTTATAAGTAATTCTTGCATTTCCTAGCTTTTGAGTGATTTACTTCATTCCAGTATGTGAAGTCATACTGAGACCCCTATGGATCATCAGCCAGTTGGGAACTTCAGAGCCAGCACACATGTCTGATATTAGAAGTAACAGAGTAGGCTGTCATCATCTGTATGGGGGGTGCTCAACCCCCAGCTCACGGACAAGATCTGTCCCATGGAGCAGTGTCATCTGACCTGCGAGGCCTCCACACATCTGAAAATTTGGCACTGGAGAAGCAGTGGTAGCATTCTCCTGCTGCCAAAATCTTGGATCTGTGAGGAGCCCTGCATGTCAGATAACATGGCCATGAATGCAAGATTGCAAGGCCAGGCCAGTAAGGGCCTGGATCCAGGCATGCAGGGCTGGATCCAGCCAGTGCAGGACCTGGCCAGCACAGACTTCTATCCGGGTGTGCAGGCCTGGCCAACTCAGGGTCTGATCCAACTGGCATGGGGCCCTATCTCGATGTGCAGAGCTGAATCCAGCTGGCAAGGTGCCCAATGAAGCCATGAGACTTGGCCTGCAAAACAACCCCATTCCACACCTTTGGCTCATGGGGCCAAATATTGGGCACTGCTGGGGCTATATTAATGATTCTCAAACAGGGTGCTGCAGCAGTGTTAGCATTGTTAAGTGTGCAAACATGATTCGCAAGATAAACTCAGAGATTTATAATAGGAATCCATAGTGTTAAAACCATTCTAAGGTTTTAACATTCTAGGCTGTTGTGGTCTTTGAGTTCTTTGCAACAGGAAACTTGCTCTATTATTTTTCTATAGTCAAAAAACAAGTGAAAGCTAAGAGTTGGCTTTTTCTGAAGGGTGCCTTGAAGTTAAAAATATGGAGAACTACTGGTCTGGGTAGAGTCCTGCACTGTACGGGAATGGGACTTTGGATAAGTGGGTCCAACAGATATTTGCTGATGGGGGACAGAATGATGGGTTTTGTTTCAGACTTTGGAGAATCTACTGTAGTAGGCACAGACTCTTCTTCCAGTATATATCCTGTGGGACCTCATTGGTTCTATCCCTTCCAAACTCTTCCAGTCCCAGGCTTTGCCCTTCTGCATCCAGACTTCTAGCCCCAGTGCTATTCTTCTTGGCTACTGACTCCTTATCTCCATTCCCCCAGCTTTTTAATTTCAGTTCCTTTCTTCTTTCCCAAGCACTGTCAGCTGCTCCAGTTAGAGCAGAGGGAGATGGCCTCCCTGCTCTCAAGCACCTAGGAGACTTCAGCAGCCAAGAACTACTTTTGTAGGGAAGGTCCCGCACAACACAGCACCAGAGTATAACCAGTATAACTGACTCCTTGAATTTAGCAGCTAAAATATAAAGACATTTCTCCTGAGCTGCAACCTCTTTCAAATCCCTACTCAAAGTATGGGAATGCTATTGTTTTCCAAAGGAAAAGTCACCAGAATTTAACATGAACAAAACCATGTATTTTCCCCTACCTCATTATTAAATATGGTTAGTTTAGTTATATAAAGTTACAAATGACTAAAAATGGTGTCTTGTAATGAGAAGTATTGGGCAGCTTGTTACCACTCCACCTATAAACATTCCCAAAGAAGAAAAACAATCTATGTTAAAATGAATAGGCTAAGACTGTAACTTGTGGGTAAAAACTACTACAAAAATGTTGTTGTTCACAATAAGTAAAGAAAAAGTGAGGAAAATGAAAGTTAAGGTTACATTCTCAAGACTTGGATTCAAAATTAGAAAATGAGCATGCTTAAATATATGTTGGAAAGTTCAAGGTGATAATTTTATCTCCATTGGATTACGTTCTCTGGACTGCAGATGCCTTCTGACCCCAATTCGCCTAGCCGGCAACACTTTTATCATGTGTTAAATTCATCTCCTGATACTGTATGTTTTCCAAGCATGGTTCCTCACACACATAGTGGAGTGCATTCTGTATAGCTGTTAGTGACAGGGTATTGCTAAACTAGCACAGACATTTCTCCACCACTCACACACCTTAAAAGGGAAACCAAGATTTCAGCTCTGTCTGAACACTTCTAACTCTTCTGTTTTCATGCTTTGAAAATTCCTTCTGCTAAGTTTGCCAAAACTTAAGACAGTCTGTTGTAAATTCTGCACCTTTTCTGTAAGCAGAAAATGTAGCATTAGTTGCATTTTTCATGGACAAGAAATCTCGTCTATTTTAAAAAGGTGAAATCTGTTTCACTGAACTATCTCCACTGAGTAGGAGGAATCTCAGTGAGTGTCTGCAAATACACTCAGTCAAAGCCAGATTTCTTTCTGAACTATTCCTTCCCCTATCTCCAGCAATCCTCAATGGTGTCAGTTCCATGTTACCAAATCAGAGGGGAGAATGTTTAGGCTGTGTTACTGTCATATGACATCGCCCTCTCTCAACTGACAAATAATTTGCTATATTTAATGTGACCTATCATGACATTCACCCAGTATATTTGCTGCTCTTTAATTAAGGGCCAGATTGGTGGCTGACCCTAATATACAGCCTCCAAGGACCAAAAGCAAGTGTCACCCATCAACCCTGACAAGACATTTTCTTCATTTCATAGCATAAGGTGTGCACTCGGTTCTTCTTCTCTCTCCCCAGGTGGTGAAGAAGTGTCGGGGGAGGGGAGGGGAGAAGAGAGGAGGGGTATTGGTGAAGTCTTGGTATTGCTGAGCTGATGAAAAAAAAAATAACCA